CACACACACACCACTGTAAACATTGTAACATAACGTGAAAGAGCTAAAATATGCGGTAGTGTCAAGAAACGATATTATGAATAACGTATGATGGAAGTTACTGAGATTAATAGAAACTGATTTGATCGGCAGAGAAAAAGAAACACTACTAGGCCAGAAAACAAACTGAAAGTGAGAGGCAATAAACTGCTGGTCCTGGCCTTCAGTACTTTACTCGTACATGTACTTTCTACACCCCCACACAAAATATCGACGTGCACTGGACCCGTTAAATATATGTAATAAGAACTGTCCTGTATGATGACAAAAAGTCAATTGATTCTGTACCAGTGACGCTGTCCCAAGCAGATCAAGTCTACAATTACGATAGTATACAAAGCTGGACAAAGTGAGCACACAACAATTTCCGATTATTATATCATCAAATTTTCTTCATCGCACTTCTCACTTCTCAGAACAGAACACTGTGTTGTAACAAAGTGGGGAAGTGTGTCAAATGCTAATTATAGAACTTGGTGTCTAGCTAGGGTGACGGTGGAAAAGGGGAGGGGAGGGAGGGGGTAGGCCTGGCCCAGACTCTGACGGCCGAGTGCCTATCGCTCCTCGTTAAAATTATCCTTATATATCTTCACTAGACAATTCCTCCTTCCGCCCACCAGACTCCTATGGGCCAGGTAAGTTATTAGTGGGGAGAAAACGATGAGTAAATGTCAAACATGAACTATAGGTGGTTAAAAAGCCAATAAACAAAAAAGATTAGTGCCATGCTAACAGTAAATGTTCTGATAGTAGTTAAAGAAAGGCTGAATGATAAATACATGTTTTGCTGATAAAATAATACATGTGTCTGTGCTGCTCAAGACAGTCTCAATCTTAATTTTGTAAGCTACAAAGAGGCCAATTTGACAATTAAGGGATTTAACTATCCGTTCTGAGGGCTGTCGATGGATTTGTCCATTGGACTGACGTCATCGCTAGGCCTAAGCATGCCGTGTGTTTGGCCTCGTACGTAGTAGCCTACGAAGTTCCGCGACGTGACGGCTTGATGGGAAGGAAGACGATTTAAAGTTATGAGCCAGCGCGATAACAAACGTGAAGGAATGAGGCTCTGTCGCGACAAATAAACAGCAGAGAATCCCACTTGTCTATTTGAGCGCCTTCAAATCGGCAAGGTGCTTTTGAATGTTGATACATGTTTGTTTGGATTTACTTAAAACTGAATGAAAATCATCATCAGCAATAAATCTCCTGTCAACAGTCCAGCTGAAAAAAAATTGACCGGCACCGATGGCATGCACCTTGCATGCTGCACATTGTGTTCTTCGCGGGAATGAAACAGTAAAATGGAGTGAACCGTCCGTCCAACAGCCAAGGCAGCGATCCCTTGATATGGTTTAGATATGTACATTAATCTTTTGAAACAGCTTTGCACACTATAAACTATTATTCAAACACGGCGAGCCAGCTCATGCTCTTTCAAACGAGGGACTATTTATCTGCTTGACATATCAACGTCCATATTTTGTCTGACAGATTACTAGACCAAATAAAACAATATGAAATATATACAGTACACCAACACAACAGATACAGTATAATTTGCTTATTGCAACGTAAACTGTTACGTTTACAATTGACGGACGAAAATAGTTTTAAGCAACAGTTATCTATGGGACTAATCCACCCACACCCAAACTCCCATAAAAAGGACAGAAAAAATGAAATTAAAAGGACAATTAAATACAATAGTAACGAAAACAGACATGAATATTATATAAATACATTTTTATAAATAAATAATAAGTAAATAAATAAATAAAAAATACATGAATAATTATCTAAATAGATGAAATATTTTCGTTGTTTTAGTACTTCACTTCAAGGGCCCCAGTGCGTTAGAAATAGTGAAGGACAATAGAAATAAAAGTTTTGAGACGAAAGTCAGAAAAGAAAAAATACATTTACTGGAAACTGTAAAACAGAAAAATAGAACAGAAATCAAAAGGAGAAGAAATCAATAGCAAACGTGAGCTGCCAGAAAAATTACGTCAACTAATCAACTCACACACTGGTCCCTTAATATGCAGTCTAATACGTTGATCGTGGGATCGTTTCTGCAAGCCTACAAGAATCCCAAAGGACAAACGTTACATATAGTTAGCAAACTATTACCTTACTTTGGACCCATTGATTTGACAGAAAAATCTTATGGCTGGCCGAGCTCTAAACTCTGGGTGGACTTGTATAATTATAATGCATTTTACTATTACAAACTTATTTTCGCCGCCATAATGGGCAGGGGGTTGTGTTATTTATGTTGCATATTCCACGCTTTCGTGGTTGTTACAAACCAGAAGAAAAAATGGGCTATGACGAAGCGGTTTAAAGCCCAATGGTTCTGGAAATCGAACATGCGATCGATACAGTTTATAGGCAGAGTAAATAGAGAGAGCAATCACGGGAGAGGGGAGAAATAGAGAATGAGAAAGAAGGGGAGAGAGAGAGAGAAAGCTGGACAGAGCGGCAACAGAGGTTAATATATATGACATTATGGAGAGAGAGGCAGAGACACACGCACACTCACGCACACACACACACACACACACACACACACACACACACACATACACACACATACACACACACGCACACGCACACACAGAGATAAATAGATAGATAGATAGACAGATAGATGGATAAATAGATAGATAGATAAATAGAGAGAGAGTGAGAGAGAGAGAGAGAGCTAGAGAGAGAGAGCGAGCTA